GTGGGAGGGTGAAGGAGGCTCACCTCAGCTGTCTCTGGCCATCCCCTGGACTCCACCGCCTGGAGGGCTCCCTGGAGGAAGGCGCCTGCCTCTCGGCATCCATGCAGCAGGTGTTCCAGGCGCTGCAAGATCAGCACAGGAGCACATTACTGACCGAACAACCGCCTCCTCCCTCGGCGCTCCCTCGGGCTCTTGCCCGTCGCCAGCTCTCGGGGGTCCCCAGGCTTGGCCTGGAATCAAAGCGGCCCTGCAGCACCGGGCCATGGCTTCCTTGGCCAGGAAGAGCCACCTCTGGTCCTTGCTGCAGTTGCATGCAAGCCCGTGAGAATCCGTGCTCCGCTTGGGGAGCTGCCACAAGCCAGGAGGCGTTTCCAGCACCCGCTCCTGCCCCAGGGTTCCCAGTTTGCCTTGTAGGCCCGTGGCTCCTTCTTCCTCCATACCTCAGGCCCGCTGGGCCCACCCCCAGCACGTCTCCCTTAAGAGTCCGTGACCCAAACCAGAAGGAAGATCCCGCACCTCTGCTGCCAGAGTCGGATTGCACAGTCCTAGGGATGTCTGCTCTGCCCCTCTGAACCTTCAGGATAACTTGCTTCCAGGCAAAGGCAAACAGGGCGGTCGCCTTTAACTTCCAAATTGGAACCTTTCAAATGGACACCTGCTACTCCAGCTGGAATCTACAGGGCCAGACCCCAGATTTGGCCTTCCTGGGCACACAGAGCGTTTGCCAAGAGGGTGAACTGGGGCTTCTGGACCCTGGCAGGGAATGTATCAAGGCAGAGCGAGCAGCACACGTTTCCCTCACCATCCGGAAGTGCAGCCAGTCCTGATGGCAGTAGGGAAGGGCCCCGTCCAGCTCCAAGGGAAGCTGAGAGCTCTCAATGTGCTTCTGGAGGGACTTCAGGGAGGTGAGGAGTTCACACTGAAGAGGAAAGGGAAGAAGACATTAGTATCGGGATGAGATGAGAGGAGGCCTGTGTGTGTGTGTGTGTGTGTGTGTGTGTGTGTGTGTGTGTGTGTGAGAGAGAGAGAGAGAGAGAGAGACTGTTGTTCCCACTTAGCACTCTGGTGTTGGCACTTTCTGTGACAGGGAAACTCTGCCCCCCTCCTTTGGCCACATCCAACTGGACACTGTGAGTGCCGAATGTGGCTGAGCCATGACCTCCCCCTCCCCCACACCTCTCCCGGCTCTGCTCCCTGGACCCCCTTTCCTCACAAGGAGGTCAGGGGAGTAAAAAGGGGGCCCTGCCCCCTTGTCTCAGAGCACTTCCTGTGCAAAGGCCAAACACTTTTCGGGGGGGGGGTGGTTTTCCAGGCAGGAAGAGGAGGCATAGAAGTCAACAGCAAGGGGGGGCGGTTAAAGGGGGGATGGCTCCTTGTTTGTTACTTTTACTGTTTTAAGCTAGAGGGCCTGCTTCTTTTTCACATGCTCAGAATACATCAAAGTCACGCCAAGCACAAAAGGAGTCAGGACGGTTGTTAAAAAAGAAAACAAGCCCATGGACAACTAGTGGGACACGGCAGCTTTGTCACTTGTAAAAACAAAAACCCAGAGGTTTTTGGATGAATGTACACAAAGCCACCCCCGGAAGAGCTTGCTTTGGGTCAGCTGGTGCACCTTGCTCTGAACTCTGGAGCTGAAATGCTGGAGAACATGAGAAGCCACCCACCCAACAGAAACGAGGGCAGCCAAAGACCATAAGGCTGGGGGAAACCATATGTAAATCATAGATGGGATTCTGCCCTTGATGCCACTGCTTGCCAAAGTATCTCTGCAATAGGGTTTGGAACCTGCCGAAAGCAAAATATTAAAAAAATGATGCATAAAGCAAAACAGAATGTCCAAATTCTGTGTTAGATACAAATCTCCCCTGGATTTCTGGAGCTTAAGCAAACAGGCCCAGTGAGCTGCAGAAATTAAGGAAAAGCAAAGGGTTTGGAAATGAGCGCCTCTCCTACCTGCACAGATGCTGGTTTCTCCACCCGAAAGGTAGCATCTTTCTCAACCAGCAGGAGGGCTCCGTGGACACAGTGAGAGACGGTCTCCTGCAATGCAAAGAACAGGCACTAGGGCTCTCCAGGGTGGCTTTGTCTCTGGCCTGAAGCCTCCTCTTCCGGGCAGCTAAACAATGATCTCTTCTTGGCAGCCTGGTCTCTGCCCTTTCCTGCTGGCCCTCCGTGGCACCAGCGTCCCTCTGAAATTGAGCTGAAAGGTGCCCCAAGACCCTCCTGGGCCCATGCCAGCCTGCTGCAAAATCCTTAGCCAAACTCCATGGAAGAGGAGAATCCATGAGCAACATGGACAAAGACAAGCTGAAGGCGGCTATGGGCAGATCTACCTTTCAAGCATGGGGTGGCTTAAGGGTGATGGATTTGTCCCAAAGGAACCTGGGAACTGTGTCTGTTTAACAAAGAAGGGCCAATGTGGCCACAGCAGTGCTGCAGCCCCTGAAAACGAGCCACGGGACTTCTAACAGACTAAACCTCCACCAGGGTGTGACTGCACAGCTGGGAAAAATACTCTCGGATCCACTGTGATCTGCATTTTTTAAACTTGGATTTCCAGGGCGACACTTCTGCAGCTGTTCAGACATCAAACCATTTGTAGGAATCAGCAGAGGCAGAGGACTGTGTTTCGACAACAGAAGCTGGACAAGGTGCTAATTCGCCATGTCTGCCTCTTTTTTTAAAAAAAAAATTATTTACTTTCCTTGAAGTGACCTCTTGAGTAACGGTAGTCCAGCCCTGCCTTGAAAGCCTTTAAGACACACAGAGAGATATTGGCAGACCACAACAGGCATGCGGTTGAGGGGAACTGATGCTCTTTTGAGCCCGTCCGCCACTTGCCTTCAGATCAGGGGATCACACTGGGCAAAAAATGGACAAAAGTCAAGTCTGTTTCAAGCACCCCTGCCAGCTGAAGAAAGAAAGAAAGGCCAATCCCCGCTGAAGGACAGATACAGTTCCACCACCAGCTTTCCCACATTAAGCTTTACGACCTGTCGTTGCTGGGTTTTGATTCAAATTTATCGGTGCCCCACCAGTTTCAACTGGCTGCTGCTGGGGGAAGAGGGGAGACTGAGCACGAAGGCCTCACCTGCAGGAGAGCCAAAGCCTTAAAGATGGCTGGGACCGGAGAGTATCGCCGGGCGTCTACCAGAACGGTCAGGCCCAAAGCCTGGCACTCCGGCCTGGAAGTCAAAAGGGAGACCAGGCGTCAGCAGCTGCCCTTCCTAAGGCCCATCCCCTGGCAGGCTGCCAGGCACAGCCCTCCTCCAACGCCCTCTGGAGCACCAGCCTCTGCTGGCTCTACACCCAAAGGCACGCGGTCCCGTCCTGCAGCCTCTCCTTCCGGAGCCGTCCCTTCTCAGGACCAACCAGGCTTTTCCCGGAGTGCCAGGTGGAGCAGGAAAGGCCTCCTCTTTCTTCCTCCTCTCCTCTCTTGCGGGGCCACCAGAGACGCCCAGCTTTTCCCAACCGAGGCAGGACCCTTTCTGACGGGTTTAGAGGCAGAGGCTTGTTGCTTCAACAAAGCCGGTTGTGAGGGCCCTGGGGCCGAGTGTGCCTTAATCCACCACCATGGGCTTCTGGCGGCTGCCCTCGTTCCGCACCGCCACATGGTTCCTTTTTGGCAACGGACGGAGGCACACAGAAACTTGGCATGCCCCCTATCAGAGATGTCTGGGGAAAACATTAGTTTACACACCAGTTAAGCCTCTGGCCGTCAAATTAAAAGTATTACCTAAAGGTTGGAAGAGGATGTTGTCCTCAGTTCACGGCCCTGATACAGATCGTCTCTATCAGCCACATACAAAAATATACCTGACAGATGACGATGGTGATGATAAGAGTGCAGGTAAAAACAAGCTAGAGGCTTTGACGCAAGTTAAGTCCTTCACTCCAACCCCAACACAAGCTTGCAAGCTACAGCCGCCTGATCATTCCAAAACTTAATGGGCTTGCAGATACATAAACGAGCAAGTAACCCTGGCTCCAAGAAACCATGACTTTGTCCAAGCTGAGCAGAGCTGGGCCGAGCCGGGCCAAGCCGGAAAGGTGGCTCATGGAGGAGCTCCCTTCTGCACTGGGGACCTGTGTCCGTCGCCTGGCAAGTGAGGGAGCCCAGTTCGCTGGCCAAAAGAGGGAGAACCTGTCACAGAGTTCAGAGCATTTTCTTGCCCTCTCCAAGCCTTTCCAGCACCTCTGGGCACCTGTTACCACCCAGTTTCCCCCATTTTACTTGATCACACATGTCAGAAAGCAGGAAAAAAGCAATGCCAAATGCAAAACAAATTACTCCGTTGGCAGAACAAAAAGAGACAATTTGCCAATGAAAAATACTAGATTTGTGCTTAGCTTTACGTCATGTAGCTGCCAGTTTTTACTCCAGTTTTATCCACACTAAAGCCAACTGCAAAGCAAATAGCCACGGCAGTCACCTCCCAAAGAAGTGTGAGACGAAGCAGAAGGCCAGCCCTCATTCCAACAGGCTGCCACCACACCTTGGCGACCCCAAAGCCTGTCTGAACAGTCAAGCTGCAGGTTGGCAAGGAAAGGGGAATCTCCCCCCCCCCACGCCCCCGCTGTGTGCTATATGACAGCCCTGCCAGAGAGCAGCCACAGCCGCTCAAAACTCCTGTTCTGCTCTCTGGGCTTGCGGTGCAGCCTGTTCCTTTGGATAGTTTTATTGCTTCGGCCGTGGCTGGAGCTGATGCTCCTTCTGAAGGTGGAGAACCACTGCCCACTTGAAGCTTGCCTTTTGGGGACTAGCTGAGTGCTTCCTAGCAGAAATGGAAGCCATAGGTGGAGGCACATGCCTTTCTGATGAGGAGCAGGTCAGAGTGGTCTGGCTCCCACATGGAGAAGCACTCCTCCCGCCTGCTTGAGCACCAGCAGAAAGGGCCTCTAGAAACACATTTCAAACACATCTGTACCCCGAGGCTGGATTTTTGTGGCAAAACTGCTTCCTTCCCGAGTCCACACGCTCTCCAGCCGCCCCACGAACCTGAGAGTGCTACGTAGGTACAGGAGCAGGCACGTCAGTTCACTGGCGTTGCAGCGAGGGTTTAGCCAGGCAGTGTTCCTCATGGTGACTATCACCACCGCACGTCCACCTTTGTCCCTGGTACCTGAGGAGGAGGAGGAGCAGGAGTCTGCTTGGTTTATCTGCCAGGCAGGAGTGATGCTCACAGGGTCAAGCATGCTGCTTATATACCACCCCATAGTGCTACTGCAAGGGGGGCATCTGGGACAAGGTACAGGTAAACTGGCCCCAGTCCAATGCCCGGCAGTTCTTAACCCTTCCCAAAATAAGTAAGACCAACCAACAAATGTGCCACAGATGGAATTTGCCCTCGACTCAGGACCTTGTCATGGGGAGAGGGAGGTTTCATAGAAAAGGCCAACCTCTGGGCTTGCTCCTTGCCATGACCTGCCTCCAATGGCAGCGGGCTGGAAGGGAGGCAAACCCACTCGGAAAAGGAAAGGCCGTTCATAACGCTCTCTTCCAGGAGCCCAGCCATGTGCAGTACACATCTGTAAGGCAACCCTGAAAGACAGGGTCTAATAATATCTGGAGCCTTATATCTTTTTTTTAAAAGACACCTAGTACTTCCAGTCCTCCCCTTCAGTACCTGTTTTATCAATACCAGGCTGTGAAAATACTCAAATGGTTTACAGACAGCCCTGCGGGAGAGAGATACCTCACTGCAGGACAGCCCTGCTGTGTCTGGTGAGTCTTTTCTCCACCAGCAACCCTGCTCCCATCCAGGCAGGCAAGAACCTTTTCACTCCAGATGCTGAGCAGTGAAAATTCCCCAGTCTGGACCTGGTCCCTGACATCTTTAAGGCCTTCCTCCCAACAAACAAAGAAGTGGGATTTTCCTAACTTGGGTACAAAGGGAAATTTAAAATGTTAAGAGTTTTTGAAAACCCAGCTGCTGCTGCTGCTGCAAGGGGAACATTTCTTTAGAAAACAACAAAGGCGGTACAAAGGTGAGCGGCTGCCGGTCTTCTCTGCAGACGGGCTGAGGGGGCACCCAAGAAAAGGGAAGGAGGAAGCTCGGCCGCCCCTCAGCTCCTCAACCGGCCCTGTAAGCGTTTCTATGCCTTTGGAATCAGGGCCTGGGTGCAAGGAGCTGATGGGGCACCTCAGAGCCCCATTTTATTACCCTAGCCCCCCAGGGCAACTCTGTCCACAGCTGCTCTCTGGATTCCTCGACCCCATGTCCCCGAGTCATCAACCTACTGGTCTCCTGTGAGGGAAGGCAGGGGCAGAGAGGGGAGGACAGAAGCCCTGGCCCCTTTTTTTCCAGGGGGGTGGGCAATGGCTTGTGCTCCTGCATTTCATGCCAGATGCCCAAGGTGGGGTGCAGAAAGCCCAGTTTTACAGGAGCCCAAAAGGCACTTCACCCACACCCACACGCCACTTCCACTACTCACAGAGCTTTGTACAAAAACAACCCATTTCACCACCACAGAAAACAGCACCAGGCAGTGCGAGTCTCCCCCACCCCCACGGGGATGTTCCTTACCTGGCAGGCAGGCAACGCCACTCTCCAGCACCTCCCAGTTGACATCCTTCACCGAGGTGGGGGCAGCGCACAGACCTCCCCTGGGTGCCACCGAAGGCTGCTCTGGGCATGCGGCCGGTGCGGGGACGGCTTCCCAGGTGCAGCCTGGACTGGCTGGCGGCAGGGTCCTTTCGCCAGCTGCTCTGCTGGCTTCCTCTGCCCGTTTCACGGAGGCTTCTGTATCAGGGAAAGGCAAGAACACACACAGCTCAGTCTCACGCCACCATCATCCCCACCCACAGCTGGACACAAATCAAGATGTTTGCCAGGCTCGATTTCTACCCACCCTGCCTCTTCCAAAGAGCCCTGGAAAAGCAATGGCAGTTGCAAATAAAACAGACATAATAAAGTGTGGGCACACGCAGGCACATGAACACACACACACACACAAAGACACACACGGGGTATTCCATCCACACGACTCTTCCTGGCTGGGGGGATTCCACCCCAGAGTAAAGCGACATCTTGCCTGTGAAGCAGACTCCAAGCTTGAGAGAACACAAGGGGAAGCGATTCCACAGCCGGCACCCAGACTCTCTGGCTGGATCTCTCCGCGGCTGCAGAAGGCCTTTAATCCCCCTGGGAATGTGGCTCCTTGGGAGGGGAATTTAAACTCTTCCTGCTGCACCACTTTTTCTGATATAAAAGCCTTCTTCTCTGTTGCTACTTGCTGCCCTTCCTGGGGAAACCAGTTGTGGGGTGGGGTGGGGAGGGCAAATAGCAACTTTGACACTTGGGGTCAGTTGAGACTGGGAAGAGAGCAAAGGGAGAAAGGGCCAAATGTCCCCCTCCCTGATGGGACTCCCTCCAAGCTCCGCTTGGGGCACCCACACTTGCTTCCAACCGAAACATCCCTTCAAGCAGATGTGAGGTCTGATCGCGGGTCTCTCCAGGCATCTCCTCCAGCTTCTGCCCCAGGAGGTGCCCACCAAGGGTGTCTCTCTCAAGCATGACGTGTTGATGCCATGGCCATGACGACAGTCCTCGCTGACTGCCATTGTTGTGCTGGCCAAAGAAGGGGAAAAGGACTTGCAGGAGGCACCCCATGCAGAAAAGCCAAGCACTGCCTGAGACCGTTGTTCCAGACCTTCCCTGGCTCGCCTCTCTACGCTTGTGGCGTCAAGGGAGAGCCAGCATCCAAGGCTCTTTTCAGAGAGATGGGGAACTGCTCACCATGTTGGACGGCCTCACCTTCTCCTGCATCTCCAGCTTCACTCCCCAGCCAAGACCCTCGTGGGAATGTGGCCCTCAGTGAACAAAACTGGAGGGTCTCTCTGATGCCTAATCACAGACTGCATCCTTTTTGGCTGGTCTCAAAGGAAGCCAGGCAGAACATAAACTCTTCAAACCAGCTGGCACAAAGAAGCTGAGATGCTCTAACTGACTTAACAGTCAAGATCTTTACTTAAGAGAACACTGAATCAAAGAATCAGTGGGTGAAGAGGCAGTCAGGCTGCGAGTTGCCTGATTCAGCACCAAGACCCAATTCCAGCAAAGGAAAGCTTCCTTTCCAGAGGTGTTGCTGCTGGCACAAGCAAAGCTATTTATGTAGGTGTGCTGGTGTGCTTAATCTCTGCCAGCAGGCTCTGCTTCCTGGCAGGGCACAACACGCATGATTTCCCCATCTTCTGGCTCGTTTCTTGCCACCCCAAGCTGAATTTTCCAACCCGTGGAGTTTGTGCATTAGGACCGGTCTGACTGGAATGGCATCTCCTTTCCCACATGATGACTGTTCTTGGTTTTAGCTCTGCAGCAGCAATAGCAGCAGCTGCCTGAGCTCAGCGTTTATCCCCTCGACCACCTCACAATGGATAAAACACCAAGAGCTGGCGCTGCCTTTTCCCTTGGTATAGGCCATGGAAAGGCTCCTTTGCTCAAGCTGTGGTGGCCAATCCCCCAACCAGAGGTGATCAAATATCTACATGAAACTCTCCAAATGTGTGCTTTTTCCTCACTCCAATATCTGAATTACTGGGGAAAGAGAGAAGTGAAACACCTTACACTATGTGAGAATTCTGGGTAGTTCCAAAACCTTCTGCTACCCGAGAAGCAGCCCAACTGCTGAAGTGTGTTCTCAGCCATCCTCAAAGCAGGGCTGGGGTGCGGCACTTCCTGCACCTTCCGCTGCTTTGCTAAACCCCCACCCCTTTCAAAAGACAGCCTACGTAAGATGCAACTGACCCAGATTCTTGGAGCCCAAGGGGCGGGCTGTCTGAATCGGAAGCACGGAATACGTGAAGGAGGAAGCATGGCCTGAGTTGGAGGGAGAGGGGACCCAAGTTGACATATAGTCTGCACACCACTGTGAAATAAAGCCGACAACAAATTTTCTTCTTTCCCCTCCAATGGCTTGCTTTAGTGCACATGCAGCTTGCCCGCTGGGAAAACTCAAAGGACACTAAAATACGACATGCCCACAGTTCTGGTCCATCCAGACCCCTCTGGTGCCAGTCAAAGGCATCCAGGAAACGCTACATGGAATTCCTCTTGGGGAGCAGAGGACAGAAGCACAAACTCTTTTTCATGTCAAACTAGAGAATCGGGACCATGAACAGCAAGTGCTCAGCACCACTGGGACTGCTGTTGGGCTTTCTCTGGTTCACACCATAAAGAGAAGGCAATCAATTACCTCTAAAGTGGCACAGACAACCTCACCAGCAGGGTCTCAAGCCAACGTTAAGGGCAGCAAAGAAGAAAAACAAACAAGGGCAGCCAGTCCAGAGATCACATGACATGGAACATGGGAACCTGACCTCAGTCCTACGAACCACCAGCCACAACCAGCAATACCCAAGAGTTGTGCCTTTATAGGCATTGAAACGATCTTTAAATTGTACTAAAAATATCCAGCTGAAATTAATTCAAAATACTGAAAACTATTCAAAGGCCCAGGAGCATTGTTTACACCGGGCAAAGGCCACGAATCTTGGAACCTGGTGATCTCCAGGAGCAATGCTCCAAAACTGGAGCAGGGAGGAATCTCGGGATTCGTCTAGATTCCGTTTGGCAACTCACTTGAAAAAAATCCCTTTTTATTTACCCAGTGGCATTCTTTTTCTGACTGTGCTTTGCTTTAAAAGCCGTGGGCAATCTGACGCTGCTGAGAAAAGGCCGGTGCAATTGCCAAACCAAAGATGAGGGATCTCTCAACAGAACAAAACCCACATTGCAAACTGCCTAACATGCGATCAGGACTGGGAGGCCTAGGGCTGCATCAAGGGCTCCCCTCTGAACTTCAGCCATCTCAAAAGGAACTTCTGGCCACGCTCAGGTCTCTTAACAGAGGGACACAATCAGTAAGCCGACTCTGGTTGCGACCACCTACTGGATTCCTGCCCGGGAGTTCAAGAGGGCCCCTCCAGACCGAGGAAGGGGCATTAGACGGATGGGTGACAGTCAGTAGAAGCAACGCACCAAGCGATGCCCATGGAAGTGACAAAAAGGAAGCTGCTTTCAGGTGGGGGCATCCCTGCTAAGGATTACTGGAACGGCGCCACAAACAGGCCTGCTGCCAATCTGCTAAAGCGGGGGGGGGGGGGGGTATTATGGTGGCTCCAGTGCCCAACCTGCCAGAGAAGCTGGAGGCCTGAATTCCCTCTGCTGGCTCAAACCCACAGGCCTGGGAGATTCCCTTTGTCCCTCCTGGCACAGAGGCCACCCTGCCAGCTATGTGCCACCGGCCCAAGCAGAACACTCGCTACAGAATCTTACCTGCGGCTTGACCCCCATTTATGAGGTTCTGCCTGCTCTCTGGCAACTTGACGGCTGATGACGCTGAAGGTGTGGGTTCTGCTGCATCCTCCTCGCCCAAACAATGGGCTGGATGCTGGTCCGGCGCTCTGATGGAGCCAGAGTTGTGCCCAGTCTCCTGAAGGGCTGACATGCCTGGTTCTTCTTTCAGGGGAGCAGTTGGGCCACTTCCCTCCCCTCGCTCTGGTAAGCATTCCCCCTCCTGGCTGGTTCCCAACAGGGAGGCCTCTGGTTCGCAAGGCCAGTGGGAGGGGGGGCCCACCCAGCACGCTGCCGTCTCTTCCTCACGGAGGGGGTGGAAGGAGCCCTGTGCCTCCGCCCGGGCTTCTGCTGAAGAGCTGCTACTCCTGGGCTCTGCTCCCGGGCCATCCAGGGCTGCCCCATGAATGTAAAGTGGGGAGGCGTTCTCCACTGGCGGCTTTGGGCTGCCCCTGTTCCCTTGTCCGGCCTCCTCCTCCCCCTCCCCCTGGCATCCCTCCGCCTGCTGCTCTCCACCGGCCAATGGCTGAGGGGCGAACACACTGCCACTCTCCACTAACGGGCCTGCTTGCCTTTGGTCCCCCTCATGCCTCGGCTGTTGAAGATGGCCTTCCACCGGCCATTCGGAATGACCTGCCACTTCAGCTGGTGGTTCCCGAGATGGAGGACCGTGTAGCAACATCACTTCAGATAAAGGGCCTCCAGGCCAAGTCTCGACTGTTTGAGGGTCAAAGGGACTTCCTTGCAGGCTTGAGCTGGAGACGCCGGGGTCCTCCTCCTCAGAGCTCCAGCTGATGGCCAAACATCTCCCGTGAGATCCAGAAAGGGAGGCTTTCCCAGAGTCCACAGGCCCTCCACCCTCTCCTGGGAGTCTGCTGCCCCTGCCCAGCGTTGCCCCTAGAACAACACTCCCAGGACAGCATTCGGCAGCCTCGCGGCCATTTTCCAACCCTGAGCTGCTCCTCTCAGCGGCTTCGATGGTGCTGGAAGGCCATGTTACTACTTCGGCTGTGGCTTTTGCTCCTCCTCCTCCTCCTCCTCCTGGGGTAGGCTTGCATTCAGCCTCCTCTCCATCACTGTAGCGGCACATGGCATACTGCCAGTCTAGTTCATGCTCCAGACACACCTGGAAGCCCTCGCCCTGGGGAGACTCCCCCATGGTTCCAAAGCCAGTGGTAGGGACTGGGGTCTCCTCGGGTCCTCCAGGAGGCTGCAGGAGCAGCTGGTCTTTTCCCAGAGCCTTTTCATTCTCCAGACAATTCCCAGCATCTCTCACCTGGACGTCGGGAGTATTCCACGGCTGCCCCTCTAGAGTTGACGGAAGCGCTGCACAAACTCCAGTCTGGAGTTTTCTGTCCTGATCGCCCACTGAGCAATCCTTTGCTGTCGTCCTGGGCTTAGTGCAATAACTGAGAGGGGCCACCCGAGGACAACACTGAGGCAGGGAGGCCCCTGTGAGCACAACATATTCCCCTCCAAGAGTCCCCTCTGACTCATCTTCAAACCCTGGGCGTCCCTCTTCCGTGCTGCTGGCAGCTGTCCTTCCTGCGGACTCCTCTGGTGCGGTCATGAGCAAGCCGTCTCCAGGTGGCTTCAGGGCCCTTTTTAAAGTCTGGGGACTCTCCTCTGAGGAGCTGCTCTGGGGCTGCTTGGCCAACAAGGCCAGAGGAGAAGAGCTTGCAGCCAGAGAGGCTGAACTCACACCGCTTTCCATGGCTTTGGGCTTATCGATGAATTCTGGGTTGACTATTTGGTCCCAAGGCACACGGAAGATTTGATCATCCGTGGCAAGCAAGCAGTTTTCCAGGGCCGTTCCTCTCCGCTCCTCGTTGATGCCGTTCAGCCATTCCACAGTGAAGATGGAGGTGTAAGAGACCTCTGGGACCACAAGCTCCTCCACATTATGTCTGTCCTTGGCCAAGCATTTCACAATGATTCGTGGGGACTTTTTCAAATAGGGGACCACCTGCAGGTAGAAGTCTCCGGGCCTCAGGATCCGCCAGTTGAGGGAAGCCAGCTGGACAACAATCTTCTCGTGGACGCACAGGGGCCAGCCCTCATGCCGAAAGAGCAAACCAGAGTAGGGAACCTGAAGGAAAGAGGAAACCCGGATGAGTGGTCTGCAACAGGGTTCCAAAGGGAAAACACGTCATTGATCAAAAGGAAGTGGGGAAGCCACCAGCCTTTAGAGGCACAGAAAGAAAGAAAGAAAGAAAGAAAGAAAGAAAGAAAGAAAGAAAGAAAGAAAGAAAGAAAGAAAGAAAGAAAGAAAGAAAGAAAGAAAGAAAGAGCCCTCGTGATGGAAAGGAAGGCTCCACAGGCCAAGGGCCAGCCTAACAGAAACCCTGACAGTAAAGGACCAGCTGTCTCCCGAAGAAGGAGTAACCCAGCCCAATGTGCAGGAAAGGGTGGCACTCAGCCTCACCCTTCCCAACCAGGGTTATTTTCCATATTAATACTGTAGAATGCAGCACATTTCCGTGGTGGTGGTGATTACAGTGCTGGCCTGTCAATTCCCAAAGGCCTTCAGCTTGAAAGTTTACTTCCAGGTTGAAGCAACAGGCAAAACCCATTGTCTTTGTGTCCCTCCCACTGATTCAAAAAGAGCACGTCCCACATGGCAGACGGGACAGGATGCGGGGCTAGGCCCTGCAGGTGGAGCGCAGGCACAACTCATAGCCACCAGCCCTGGGCAAGTGGCAGAGAGGGCCCTCCTCTTCTGGCACCAGAGCCTGGGGCTCCCTCTCAGTGGCCGCACAGCCCATCCCAAGCAGCCCCCAGAAAACCCTTTGGCAACTGACACCTGTCCAAGAGCTGCCCTAGGAAGGAGCCCCCACTGCCCCATACACACACAAACACAGAGAGCGCCTTGTAGTTCCACAAATAGTGAAACCACATCAGTAGAGCACATGAGCTAGACTTCGGAGGTGACTGTCATCCAGCGCGCTCGCATCAAGGGATTTGCCTGTGCCAGCAGCAGAAGCCTGGCAGCCCAGGGCCAGGTAGCTACAGAGTAGACTGAGTGCCTGTTTTGTTGGCAGTTTATGGGCCTCACCTTCAACCGAGGATATCAGCCCAGAAAAGGCAGTGGGAAAAGGCTGCACGATGCCAGGGCGCTTGGACTGGCCTCTGACATTTTCTTTCTTTTCTTCATTCACATCAAAGCACAGCACAATTTAACATTATGGGCGTACATAAAATGTAGGTAAAACCAAAAACATTTTTTTTAAAAAAATGCTTGTATCCTGTGATTTTACAAAGCACTTGCCAGGAATATTTTTTTTCCAAATGGGTTGGTTACATAACTGTTTGAGGCAATAAACCTTCCATCGTTCAGTACATTCCCCAGGGAACTTGCGCCTACTGGAAGGGGTGAACAGGAAGCCTGTCTCCTTATCCCATTGGGAGGAAGGTCAGGCCCATCAGGAGTTTCTTAGCTAAAGTTCTGGTCCTGCTGAAGGGTTCCGGGAGCCCTGTGCACCAGTCCTCAATGCAAGCCTTGGCCCCCAGGGGCACCAGGGCTGTTCCGCTCCATCCCGCAACACAACCCACACCCAGAGAGGGAAGATACTCACACAGGCGTCCTGCTGAACACACTGGAGGATGTGCTTGGCAGGAATCAGGAAGTCAATGAGGTAGCGCAGGCCATCCCCATGGTATGTTTTCTCCACCACATCAAAGACCTGGCACAGGACTGTCGTTGCCGTGATCTCAAAGGGAGGATACAGCGCCGACAGGGTGCTCTGGATACAGCCATCCAAGGACTGCGAATCCTGCCAAGAGGAGGAGGTGGTGACGCGACTCAGAAGCAATGGGTGGAAAAGGTACCTGCCGGGTACCTGCCGGGACTCTGGAGCTTATCGGGCATGAGAGGCAGAGGGATCGTGCCACACGAGGGGAGGGGGGAGGAATGGGCCTTCCCCGTTCATAAGCCATCCTGAGCTACCACCATCACTGCCACCAGCATTTCCCCAGCCGGGCTCCTGCGCTGTGTGAGAAAAGCGCTCACCTAGTCTCGACAGAGTGGCGGCAGACAGCTTACGCTGCACAATCCATCCTCCGGCTGAGCCGGGCGGGGCTGCTGTGAAACTATTATTATTGTAGCCAGGAGTGACTGTGTGGGGTGTGTGCAGATGAGAGGAAGAGGCAGAAAGAGACTGTGGAGCTGCTGGCCCAGCTTCACAGCACTGCAGGCCTCTCCTGGCTGCCCCTCCGCACAGGTCCCGCTGTAAAGGAACCACCCTCTGCTCTGACGAACAAGGCAGGGACCCAAGTAGGTAACTCAGGGGGGCGGGAGCACAGTTTCACTCCCTCCTCTCCTGCTAGACATGGGCAGGAGCCTTGGAAGCCATGGGCATCCAGAACAGGAAGAAAGGCCCAGGTCAGGAGTGCAGGGTCAGGGGTAAGTGGGTGGGAGGTTATGCCAGCCAAGGCTAGGGCTTTTATGGGCCCAGCATGGTCGACCGGGCTGCTTCCAATAGAGGCCAGCTGGATACCTTTGGAAAGCTCCTAAGAACAGGTAAGCCCTCCCATTGTTTATCTGCCCCAACCTCTGGGAAACAGGACCACACTGATGCTATCCCAAAATTATGGGGTGGAGCGGGGTGGAAGAAAGGTCCTAGAATTTACTGACCGAAGAAACACTCTACAGTACCTTGCTTCATGTACTAAAAAGAAGTTCAGGGCCAAGAGTTAAAGCCCATCGGGAACCAGAACACCTTTCTGACCATAATGATTCCTTCCTCCTGCACCCATCAGATTGTACATGATGGATGCAAGTTTACCAAAATGTGGTAAGAATCAGGTTAACGCATCTCAAGTAAGGCAGAAAGACAGAGAAGGCATTGGGAGGGAGCAGGCCCAAAAGCGAGGAGCAGAGTGGGGGTGGAGAACAGGACAAGACAGGGCACCCCGTCACCAGGGAAAGTCTTGGCTAAGCAGCCCTCCTGTTTCCTGGGAGACGTTGCTTACTGCAGCTGATTTAGAGATTTTTTGATCCACCACACAAGGGCAACAAAATCAAATCAGTCGACTGGCTAGCTGGGGTCTATATTCACATTTTCTCAGTGGGAAAGTTTCTGAGCAGCGGCTTAGAGGCAAGTTGCCTCTGCAGGCGCATGAAACACTTCAGCACACTTGAATGCCTGGATGGCTCTGCCTCTGGAAGGGAGTTCTCTTTATAGGCAGTGGCAAAGCAGCGGGGAAAGAATGGGTCCCAGATGTGGCCTCCCGACTCCTAACCCCTTCCTCTTCTCTGGTGGCACAAATGCCAGAGCCAAGATCCTTCCGCATCAGCAGTTCTGCTCTCTGCCAAAACACATGCGCCTGACAACAATTAACTTTTCATCTCAAACAAATTTCAATGAGCCTCCCACATAGCAGAACGTGCTTCAGGCACCGAGAGTGGCTGTTCCTCGAGGATTGGGGCTGGCCTGCTCCCACATTGATTTCAAAGGCGATAAGCTCCTCAAGAAATCACACTTAGAGAGAGCACCAACCTCTGCCAGCAATTAAAGGGAAATAAGGTAGTAGTTATCAGATCATTATAAGTCTGCAGTCATTTAAAAATGAGCATAATTAACACATGCTCGTGTCTCCATTCCTGCAGATTAGGCCAGCAACAAGCTCTTTCCTCAGAAAGCACTGTGTAATCTGAGCAAGAAGATGAAAAATATGCACCACAAGGTTTCTCTGAAAAACCTTAGCCTTTTTTTGGAAGAGATTTAGGGCTCCAGATTTATTATTCTGGGGACAGGAGATGACACACACTCATTAATGTTATGTGCCTTCAAGTCAGAACTGACTTATAGTGACCCTAACATAGTCTATCAGATGTCCTAGGCCAGGAAAATGGATGTTTTCATATCACAGAGATACTTCAGAAGCACCCAGGAGAACCACACCGCTTGGACAACGATACCGCACGAGTGCTGCACACTGCTTCCTGAATGCACACATAACTCCCTGAAAGGCGGGTACCGCTTCCACACAGACTTCATGTTCAGCTGTTCATTGTGCCTTCATGGCATCAGACAGAAGCCGTCTGAACGCTGGGCATCTCATGCCCTTTCCACCCATGTAGGTCCCCAAAACAGCCCCCCCCCAAAAAAAACACACATTCAGAGCTCTGGCTCTCCCTCTTGCAGCCGATGGCACAGACCCCTTGCAAAGACAGTTTTCTCCCTTAGCGTTTCCGGGACAAGAAGCCAAGCACTTCCCACCAGGGCAGAAACCATGCAAGCGATCGAGGAGGAAGCTTGATCAGAATGCCAAAACTCCTTCAGGCCCTCGTCAAACAAGCTCTGAAATTAATCTAGCACAGAAGCCGGCGTGAGGCCAATCCAAGGGGTGCATCGAGGCTGTGAAGCACACCCTGGGCTGTGGGGCCGCACACTTTGTGGGGCGGCGGTCCTTACCTGTAAACTCACCTCTCGGCCGTGGAAGAGGCGGACCCGCCAGGGCCCATGGCTGGGTGGAGGCCCGGAGACTGGCTGGGGGTGGGCCTGTGGGGAGGGGTGCTGTGGGGCAAAGCTGAGCCAGGGGCCGTGGGGCCTGGCAGGAGGAAGTGGGGGCGGGGGCGCAGCCTGTGGAGGAAACGGC